TTTCACCGTGTTAGCAGGATGGTCTCAATCTCCTCGCCCGTCGGTGATGCCGTGCCTGCGCTCGGCCCAAAAGTGCTGGGACTTTACAGGCGTAGCCCACTCGTCCGGCCCTAGCATTGTTTTTACTGACGATAAAAATTGTGTACTATGTTTACTGTCGTACCAAATGTTTTAAAATATGTATCATCTGTGAAAGGCTATATTGGGCGCTAATTAACATGTCACTGCCTGAACTTTTTTTTGATGCGGTAGAATACTTAAAATCTACTCTCCAGCAATTTTCAAGAATATAATGCCATAATTCATTAATGGGAAAAATGCCCTACTTTTATTGTATTATTTTTTATTTTTAATCCTATTATCTTCTTTACCATTTATTTTTTACTTAATCACTTTAACAGCCTTTAATAATGCACAACGTGTAGGTTGTTACACCCATGTATACATGCTGCCATGTTTGGTAGTGCTGCACCCATTACAACTCATCATTACACTCAGGGTATACCTTTTCCTAATCTATCCCTGCCCCACAAACAGGCCCCCAGTCGTGTGATGTTCCCCTTCGCTGGCCATAGTGTTCTCATTGTTCAATTCCCACCTATGAGTGAGAACATGCGGTGTTTGAAAACCCCTACTTTGAAATCTTTATAAACATATTACATGAGAATGGGTCCGTAGGGTAATGGGGGAGGGGAGCAGAATGAATGTTTACGTTAAATCAACTAAGTAATCATTCAGTGTGAACATTTCTTCCTGAAATGTCATTTCCCAATGCGTGGATGCTTGTGCAGGTTGAGTATCCCTTATCTGAAATGCTTGGGACCAGAAGGGTTTCGGGTTTTGGACTTTTTCAGACATGAAATATTTGCAGATACATAACCACTTGAGTTGTTCCAATGAGCATTTCCTTCGAGTGTCACATTGGCACTCAAAAAGTTTCAGATTTTAGAGCATTTTGGATTTTTGGATTTGGGATGCTCAGCCTGTATCATCTTTTTGATCAACACTGCTTTTCTTTTTGCTTGTGGTTAGTGCCAATCAGAGTCTGAGTCTTCCTTGCGTGTTTGTCAGACTGGTGAAAGGAGATTACTTCAGTGTGGACAAGATGAAAAGGGTCAAGAGGCGTAACTCTTTTCTGCTTCCCGAGATCAGAGCTCCTTGAGACAGAGCGTGGAAACTGTGCATTTGAGCCTCTGAAGAGTAAAGTAGTAAATGCTGAATGGGACCTCTCTTCCTCTGTGGGCACGTCTGGTCAGGTGTCTCAACTGAGCCTACTTCTGTCCTAGAGCTTAATATACATCACTCATTAATCCTTATCGCCGGATGAACAAACTGAGGTTAAGAGTGGTTAAGTGACTCGCTTAAGGTCATGCAACTAGTAAGTGAATGAGTAAGGATGGGTCTGACTCCAAAGCTGACAATCCTTCCATAATCTAGATTGCTTCCTAAGGTTACTGCTCCTCCTACACTACCTGAGGGGAAAAACAAAAAACATAATTAAGAAGAATCTGATTCACTGTGCCTGTGTCAGTGTCAAAATAAGAACACTTTTTTGGGAGGCTGAGGCAGGAGGATCACAAGGTCAGGAGTTCAAAACCTGCCTGGCCAACACAGTGAAACCCCGTCCCTACTAAAAAAAAAAA